TAATGACTGAAGGATAGAACTCATCCTTCTTCCGGTTCTGATCCTCCAGTATATATAACTACTGTAGACTGACCCCAGTCATTCATTATATAACTACTGTAGACTGGCCCCATCATTCAGTATATAACTACTGTAGACTGGCTCCAGTCATTATATGCTGTTGTGTTTCTTTCATTAGTTACAACCTACTGATCCTACTTATGCTACTCCTACCACTGAATATACTCCAGCAGCTCCTTCTACTGAAAGGACACTACAAGGAGGAGATGGACCACCTTCTTACCCACCACCTCCTCCTACTGGTAAGCACTTCTTATGTATTCTGGGTCATTTTAAAATGGCCAAAGCTTTTAGTCAGAATCAGCTCAAACTTTCTACATATAGTATAAGTACATGTATTAGGAAATGTAGTAAAAATGTAGAAGTGATTTCAGAGCCAACTTTTAGACAAAAAGCATGCATACTGAAAAGTACATGTTAAAATAGCAGCTCCTAGTTTTAGTGTATCAAGTACATCAACAGTTTATTTCTATTGTATTACAGGTTACTTAAGGAAAGTGTTGCATGCACTACACAATGACATTAGTACACACATCACTTTAATATAATAAATAAATCAATCCACATACACCATGTACCCAGCACATACTTACATCCAGTCATCATTTAGTGTACATTAGCAAGAATAACATTAACCTTCCTCTACCTATCATAACATGAACCATATGTGTATACATGTAACACACAATAAGCTGACAACAGCCTACACAGGGTAATCATATGTTTGACTGTAAGATACAATGAACTAGCACATGATATAGACAAGAGGACATGATAGACAATGTGCTTAAGTACAGGTTCTATAGTGATCAGTATTAAGTATAGACTCAGTAATTATATATACATTATTATTAATACAATATTCACTAGGTCAGTACAGTGTTCTTAGAGCCAGTGATGATGATGATGATACTCCCCCACCAGTACCAGCCTATAATCCTAATGGAGGACAAGAATACTCTGAACTGAGGAGAGAAGGAGAGGTGGGTAGATAAACAATAAACAAAATACCAGACATACAATAACAATAATGTATAATAGAGAAAGAATAAACAACAACAACAACGACAACAACAAGGAGCTGGTCCACTTTATTCAACACTGAATCAAAACAATGATACTCCTCCTCCTGTTCCTCCTGCCTATAATCCTGAGGGAGTACAGGAATACTCTGTATTGAAGAGAGAGGGAGAGGTCAGTCATTAATGAGAGAGTCTTTTAAAAATGGATCATATAATGTATCATTAATAGAATAAGGGTCAACAGGGTCTGTCTACTGGTGTTACTGGACTGTATTCAACCATCAGCAAGGACACTAACAACCAGGTATGGATACATGTACATATTGTATCAGGTTTAATGAACTACATGTACATAATGTATTGTATCATATAAAGGAAGGGAAGAGGGTAATGGGTGAATTGAGTACATCCTTTTAGCTAATAATGTAATGAGGTGAACCTGTCTTCATTCATGTAATCTGATATGACAGTGGGCCCTATACAACCACTAAGTGGGTGTAGAATATCAAATTACACTCACAGTAATGACACCCTATACCACCTTATAGTATCTGATACACACACATACCAGTAGTACATGTAAATGCATTATGAGGTATTTAGATTAGTGTATGGTATGCATAATTAAGGCACGTGTAGTACATGCCTGATGCTACTCTTGTTTCAATAGGTAGTAGTTGATGAATCAGCTCATAAGCCAGTGTATGCTGATCTGGCTATTGCTGCTAAAGGGAAGAGACCACAGGCAGCACCAACACAAGAACAACCAGTGGTATATGCATCAGTTAACAACAAAGTAATCATAATGTACATGTACATGTAACAACCACTATCTCTCTCTCTCCCTCTCTCTCTCTCTCTCTCCCCTAGTCT